CCCCAAACCCCCAAAACCCCAAAACCCCAAAACCCCTCTTCTAGGTTATAAAGGAAATAATAGGGGTAAATAATTTCTCAAAATTTGTTATCAAAGAGCTAAACCTCAATTTCTTTATGAACCTGTTTAGTCTGAGTCACCAACTATAGATTTTGCCTTACTGCTGACAAGGATATCAGGCTTTGAGCTTTGGAGTTTGCTATAGTAGTTTAGAGAATTTGAACCTTACGAAGATGTCTTCTTGTTCTTGATAGACTGCTTTAGAGGACTTCCATACTCGTTAGAAATGTCTTCATACATACTTTTGTTAGCAGGGTTCTTCACTTTTGGAGTGGATTTTATAAGTGGCTTGGATCTAGTGCTCTCTCGAGAAGCACGAACTCTATTGGTTGAGGCTTTTAGTTTAGTATTTTGGATTGCTGGGGAGTATTCAGAGGCTAGAGGCTTTGAGCTTCGCAACATGGAATTTAACTTCTTTTCTTGATTTTTAATAGTATCTATTTGAGACTGAAGACTGACTACTTTTGATTCTAATCTATATCCATCCATTTCTTTTGCCTTTATTTGTGATTTGAGTCCAACAATCATCTCCTTCAAAACTTCTATCTGTGCTTCATATTCTCTTTTCTGCTCACTTTCCACATTTTCTACTTTATTCATCCTTCTGGTCAACATCTTATTAATCTCTTCATCTTTGTGCTTCAAATCTTTGCTATTTTTGGCAAGAATGCTCTTCAGCTTGAGGATTGCATCTTCACGCTTATGGAGTTCATCTTCTAAAACTTTAAATCTAATTTTCATTTTCTCTATCTCTTTTAACTTATGCTTTGAGACAGTGCTGGCTTCGGAACTTTCTGAGTTGTTCTTCTTCAGGTTCGTATTGATTACCCTAACCACCTCCTCATACTCTTGGACCTTCTTGGTCAGCATATCTTGATGGTGACGAGCCTCATTCAGCTTCTTCTTTGTTGACTCTAATTCGTAGCTAGAACCTGACTTAGCAGTTTCTTTGGTACGGATTTCCTTTTCCATGTTCTTAATTGCCTCATGAAGTTTTGTAGTTTCTTCATCTTTTTCATAGAGAGCTTGCTTATAATCGTGGATTCTTACTTCGTATTCTCTCTTGACTTCATCTGCATCTTGTTTTGACAGATCAAGCTTTGTTTTGTACATTAACTGTTTCTGAGAGCACTTTTCATAGTCGTTCTCCACATCAGTAATCTGTATTTTAATGTGATTTAGTTGGTCTCTGAGCTCATCTACTTCTCTTTCCTTGTGCTTTAGTTTCACAAGAGGATCCATTTCTTCTTTAGCCTCTTTCTTTTCGGTAATTCTCTCGATTACAAGGGGATCTTTAAGGGAGAAAAATCCACTGTATTTCTGCTCAATCTTCTCAATTCCTTCTTTCGCTTCAGAGACATATTTGATGATTTCAGAGACAGACATTGTTAATAACTTGGAGTAAGTATCCATCCTTTCAGATAATTTCTTATTTTCCTTGATCAAATTCTCATCATTTGGCTTTCTCTTGAAGGATTTGAAAACTTTACCGAAGAAAGAGTTTTTCTTAGTGAGATTAATTCCCTTAGTCAATATTTCAGCAAGATCAGCTTGCTTCTTAAACAATCCGTTCTTGTCTTTTTTATGATATTTACTGATGTTCATAAGTCTTTTAAGGACAGGGTTGTTCTTTTTAGCCTTCCAGACGAATTCTGTCCATTCCTTTGTACTCATAGAGTCCTTCAGATTCTTAGATTTAAATGCTGCCTTCTTTGAGTTACTCTTGTCTTTCTTCTTGGTATCTTCGTCATCTTTTTCAAGGACAAAGCCACCTCCTTTTCTGATAACTTTTGGACCATTTTTCTTGCCTTCCTTAAGATCCTTATTTTGATCCTTTGGTTTATTCTCTTTCTTCACGGATTTCTGCTCTTTGGAGTTTTCTGGCTCAAAGTCTTTTAGGTCGTGGAACTTAGAAAGTTTTGTAATCAGGTCTCCTCTACCTTCTTCTTCAAGGAGAAACCGAAGATCTTTCCCATTTTTGATTAAATTGTACAGATGATTTTTACGAAGTTTTACCATTAATTCGAACATTTGCTTGTTGATTTCGTTGCCAATTTCAGAAATGCTGATACCGTAATATTTTGAGTTAAATTCCTCAACCAGCATATTTTGCTTCTTGATTTTAGCAGATGTAGAATCTAGCTCTATCAGTCTATCTTCGAGTAAGATCTTCTCATCTTTTAAATCTTCTATCTTCTGCAAAAGCTTGGTATTTTTATTCTCAAGTTTCACATTTTGAACTTGGAGAATACCAATATTCTTCCGGGCTTCCTGCAGATCAGCTATAACTCTTCTATAGACTTCATCTTTATTATTTCAGAAGATTCTGCTTTATAGCAAGCTCATCTTTAAGTTGTCCTATTTGCCCTTCAGCTTTCTCATATTTCTCAATATACTGATTAACAGTTTTAGTGCCTTCCTCCATGAACTTCTCAATCTGTTGTGAATTAATGACTAAATCATTCTTGGCATGCCTAAGGTCATCCTCCATATGTGCAATCTTATAATCTCTTTTTACATTTCCACTCTTCTCTGCCTTCATCAGTGCATCTTTAAGCTGTGCTTGTACTTCAACTACCTTCAGATTCAGTTCCTTAATAGTTTCATCTCTCACGACCAAATCTCTCTGTAACTCTTCTACTATCTCAAGGCCTTCTGGAGCTTTCTGTGATCTATAGGTAAGTTTGGTTACTGAAGTTCATGACTAGAAGTTCTAATGAAGAGGAAAGTTAGCTTACTTTTTCTTCTTCTTGGGTGGAGGTTTGGGCGTTAATGGGGACTGTTTCTTTTTGGACTCTTCAGGAGGGCTGGGTTGGGTAGAGGGGTTTGCGTGGGGTTTGGAGGTGGAGTCTCTGTTGGATTTTTGGGAATCTGGAGGGGATTTTTTGGGGTCTTGGAGCTCGGATCTGTCGTCTTCAGGGATGTCAGGGTTGTTTTTGGACATTGGAAATAAAATATATTGCATTTCTATTGATAAATTTTTATAAGGGGTTTTGGGGTTTTGGGGTTTTGGGG